CCCGTCACTCTCTGTAACTAGCCGCCCTCTCCAAGATGACTCGCCCTCCTTGTATCTCTGGTTCTCCTCCGTTGCGAACTCGTAGATCCAGCCCAGCTTGGCGTCGCAGTTCTTGCAGGACACGTCTCGGACCATGTGCCTGCCAGTCAGCATGACCCGGTCTTGAACCTCGCTGTAGTTCAGGTTCACCACCTTGTTGAACAGGAAGGCCCGGCCAGTGGCTCCTGCAAGAGTCAAACACAACAAGTGTAAGTTTCTGGTCTTCACCAGCATTAGAATTTAGTATGTTATCCAAATACTACAGTTTGGTAATCCATTTTGCCATATCAATTTACTTTCTTGGTTCTCTGACATTTTGAAGTGATGATACAGCAATAATAATGTCAAGATGAAAACAGAGGGCTGCATGTTACTACATGTAGTTTGCACTTTCCCCTGTTTTCATGTTGATCTTCTAGTTCCAGCATTGTCCTGGAACCAAAAAATCAAATTGGTATAGCCTTATAAAGAGTGTGCAAGTGCATGTATTGTCCTTGATTCTGGTCCAAATTCTAATCTGCTGCCAATTCCAGCCATTTCCATGGGGACCTGAATATCCATATGGCATGCATAAAACTGGAGTAATCCTCACAGCATGGGAAGGAATACTAGAGAAAACATGTCCAATTATATCTAGAAAATATTGCATACAAGCTAGAAATAAGGGGATAACCATAAAAGCCTGCATGCTGCTACAGCACCAAAGCAGGTATCATATGGAACATGGAAAGTATTCCAAAAATATAACCCCTGTTGCTAGGTAAAATTTTGTTCTCAGTTAGAATGGCACTGACACAGTAGTATCGACCTGGCCCTTCTTTGTTATAATTGAGATAGAAAAAAACTTTCATGGGTTTGACTCATGATTGGAGCCTTGAGTGACAAGCAGCATTTACTAAAAGTATTATCCTAGATGATGAGGAGAAAGCACCTCTGTTGAAAGTAGTCTAAACAACTTGGTGACAGCATGTACATGTACATGTACTATCAAACAAACAACACCACAATAACTCCCCATAATTTTCCATACCTTCATAAGACATACACACG